TTGACCAGGTATTAACTTGTTATATACCTATGTACAAGCGTATGATGAAGTTATAAACATTTAGGTGAAATTCGTGGTTTTTTTTGTTCTTCGGACCACCACCCTTTATCTGGTCACGAGGGGATGATCATGGTGTTGCCTGTTGAGCATTACCATATCGGGTCTACCGAAACTATGTTGGTGCAGAGTACTTAGATGTAAGTACTGATGACAAAGGGCAAATAATAAAGAGTTGCATGCTATGAAAATGCACCGACAGACAGTTCTTTTATCTTTTCGGAGTAGAGAGATTACTTTAAGGGGCGATTTTTAGGAAATAGGTGTTAAGTCGTGAGATCGGTTAGGTTGTGAAGAAAAGTAGGTTACATTTGAGTATCTAATAAGTTCACTGTAGCATATCGTGTCGCACTCCGCTTCCTGTTCACTCTTGGTCATTTTTTTTTCTAAGAAATTAGATTTTAACTTAACTATTGCGTTTAGTTTTCGGCATTGTATACTTATGTCATTGCTGTTAGTCTCCCTTGAGTCTAGGTACCAGTAGTACCTTAGTGCATGGCATTACCGTTTGTGGTTTGGCCGTCAACGAATTGATGAGATTCGTTAGATAGGAGGAATTTACTAAGTAGTCGTTGAAACTGGCCGAGCGAACGGCATGCTCGTATAGGAGCGGGAAGTTTGTTCCACAGCATACTGTATTGCGTTATGAAAAACCTACATCGAAGTTTTGAGCGATACTTATTTATTGGGATGATGTTCTCGCTATTACGCAGATTATATGCCTGTGTTGTTTTAAAAGTGACAGCACATTTCGTTTTAGGGTTTGTAAATAAAAGACGAAAAAGAAGTGTTAAGTTGAGCTTCAGGCGTCTCAGCCAGAGTGATTCTAGTCCTAGTTTTTTGCATCTTGCTTCGTAAGGAAGTCCTTCGTTATGTATTAGTAGGCGCCGAGTAAAGTTCCGTTGAATGTTCTCTACTCGAATTCTGTCCGACACATTCATGCTACCATAGATAACGGTGCAGTACTCTAATATTGGGCGAACCATAGCCTTGTACAGTATAAGTTTTGCCTCAGGTATGAGTATGTTTCTGTGTAGAAGACCGATGAGTCTTCTGCCCTTGGAAACTACTGAGTCTGCATACTCCGTAAAAGTCAAACTTCTGGAGTAAGTGATTCCGAGGTCTTTCACAGTGTTGTATACCTGCAGTGCAATATCACCCAAGTGTAGCGTTACTTCTGGGTGGGATTTATTGAAATGGAGGATGCCACTTTTATTTGGGTTTAGAGGGAGCTGCCAGGTCTCGCTCCATATGAATATCCTCTTCAGATCTTCTTGTATTTGAGAGAAACCCTGTGTTAGTGCTGCAGGAGAAAAGCTGTAGACTATCTTCAAGTCGTCAGCGAAAAGGTAGGGTATGCCATTTCGGATAACACTGCAGATATCGTTTACATAGATTAGGAAAAGTATCGGTCCTAGCACACTACCCTGGACGACACCACTTTGTATAAGTCTAGGGGTGGAGTAGCAATTACTGAATTTTACTACTTGGAAGCGACCCTCTAAAGATGTTCTGAGCCAGGACAGTAACGGGTCTCGGAAACCATATGATTGCAACTTAGTGACCAGGCGTTTGTGAGGCACCTTATCGAATGCTTGCTTGAAGTCTAAGAAAAGGGTAGTTACAAATAGGCCTTGGTCACGCTTGCTTGTAACGTTGTCTAGATAGTCAAGATAGCTTGTAGTGCATGACCGGCCTTTCAAGAATCCATGTTGTGCTGGTGAGAGTAATTGGTTAGTCGTCATATAGTCGACAACTGCTTTCACAATCACCTTTTCCATAGTCCTGGATACTACTGACGTGATGTTTATAGGTCGGTAGTTTTCTATATTAGATGTTGGTCCACATTTATGCTTAGGACATATGTATGATAGTTTCCAGTTCTCAGGGTAATTGCCACTGCAGAGAAAGATTTCGACGTTCTTCTCTCAGAATCTAAAGTCATATGCCAGTGGCCGCAAAATATCCATGGCCCAATCGGCACTAGTAACTCTGAGACAATATTTCGGCAATTTGATTTCAGATGCTATAATCGGATTCATATCATCTGCACATGGTCTCGCTTATGGTCAAGAAAGACGTAATTTACAGTCACTTCCCTCTCTGTAGAAAGACAAACTACGTCTTGACATGTCAAAAGGCAGCCAGCCAAGTCTGTTCTTGAATCCAAACTTTAGTATGCAATAGACGATGGGCAGCGCTTGACTATAGAAGATAAAGAGGGAATTCCATGATTGCTTACTGTACCCCGAATGCCTCTGGACTTCCACTTTGTTTCTTGCCCAACCTTCTTCTTAACACTAACTTCAAACAAATCCTATGGGTGTCAGTCTTCGAAAACAGAAAGCCATGTGTCGGGTATAGCTTCCACCTCATGAAAGATGCTGGGACCTTAAAAGCTCTACATGTAGAAGTGGTTCAGGTTACTTCATCTGAATCTGATAACAGCCGACTTGACACCTGCTTATAACGCGGGTGTGATTTTCGCAGCGTCCAACCTGAGGTTCCTATTCAATCGCCATCTCTTCCCCTTTTTTCTCCACATATATTTTTAGGATCAGGGTAACCTTTTGTTCACTGTTTCTATACACAGATGCTCGAATGAAGCTTTCTCCATTTTTTTTACCAAGCACTCTAAAACACATGAATTTCCAAACCGATCCTTAAACGTGCCTAGGCCATCCCGTAGAAGTGGCATACCCTCATGATTAAGAGTAGGTCTCCAGAGTTAGATATCGCCTGAGAATGGAACATATAGTCGTCCTGGGTAACGCATCTGCTTACAGTAGGAAGAGAAGGGAGCTTAAGATAGTTTCTTCGGGCAATTTACTTGTTATTCGCCTACAAGAAGAAAAATCTGCATTTAGCCTGACTATCCTCCCTGAGATGGAACCGAATCTTTGTCCGAACTGCAACTACTTCATAGACCCCGCAGTCTTCCAGCTTCTTCTTGATACCCTAATTGGAGGGATTGTAGGAAACTTTGCTGAAGTTACCAATTTTTAGGCACTCACATCGCCGATAGTAGCCCAATCCTCTTTTTCAGTGCCAATATTTGTCAGACATGGCCGGCAGTTACCCAAAGAATTCCATGGTAAAAGCCTTCCCCTCCAGCTCGTAACTGAATGGTTTTGCGGGTGACACTCCAAAATCTTAGCGACTAAGCTGGTCAGGTTGGTCGGATGTCAGTTTGCCACGAGATGCCTATGGCCGGTTTTACAGATTGGAAGGATAGTAGTACCCTTCCCATCTTTTGATGAGTTTGACTGATTCCGTGACATGAAACTAGCGTGGTGGTGGTTTGGTGATAATGTCCTCTAGTGTTATTCATGTGCCGGCGAGTATCTAGCTCGGACTCCAGGACTTTACTGGATGGTGGTTCTGGTATAGTCTTAGAATAACCTTGTCAGTTTGCAATCGTACTATTCTTTGGAAACTTCGCCATCGTAAATAGTTTTCGCACGCTAAACGGCCCTCAGACAATGCTTCTCCGAATTGATATGGTAAAACTACCGCTTAAATCGCCTGATTGTAAGCTGCTCATGTTGCGCCTTCGCGCAGAATCAGAATCTGGGTACCTTCGTTCCTACTATTTCTTCTCCTAATGCGGGCAAACACCATCACCCACTTTCCAGGAAGGCAGCTCGCAGCGCCAACCTCAGAATTATCCCTCGTAGTATTTAAAACTCATGTTAGACCACACCTGGCGGTAGTCAACACCATAGCCCTCTCACTGCTGAAGAGAGATGCCAATACTCTCGAGCAGGATTGGAGAAGGGCGACAAGGTTGGTTGTCGGACCGACAGGCCAGACATATACGCAACACCTCAGACATCTCAAAGTGTTCATGTCAAGCTGTCGAAGGAAAGGAGGTGACCAAATAATTGCCTGCAGGATAATCCACCTGGTGGACTACTCAAATAGGTCAACACCATCACTCAAAAACCGACAATCTCACAGGAACCCCACTTGCATACTCCACTAGAGGGCAGAGACAGGGGTGAGATCAAACTTCTTCACACGCAGTATGTGCTTTGTGGAAAGCCCTGCCGAAAGAAGTAGCCACAGTTACCTCAGTCAACTCCTCCAAACGACCATTGGATAAGCACGTGAGCGCTACTGGCTTATCACGAACATCCCTCTATTCCCCAACCTGATGCTAACAATAAGATGCGGCCTTTTTTCACATTATTACCAGTAATACTTACCTTTCCATAAGTACTTTTCATTTCCCATTCCCCACGCCTTATTTCAAGCACTTTTTAAGTAACACTGAATACCAAATTACAGGCGGTTACAAAAACGGGACTTGAAAGACGTTAACTGATCCTATCAGCTGCTCCGCCGCCCTACAAAAACAAGCCAAGCTACAATTTGCAGGAAAAAATACCCTCATTAGGTAATTACTACCTCCAAAGCCATATGCAGGAAAAATGTTAAGACTTCTACAACCACTGAAGGAGTGCAATCGGAGAAAAGGAATTGAGTCTGAGACCTGGAAGAGAGATTTCAAAAACTACAAGTTTCCTCTGCTCGCATCACTGATCGCGGATGTTGTACGTTCCTGCTCCATTCGTAGATACTCTAGTCATCAGCTTGACAGGTTGAACTGGTCATGACAACTACAAGCTTATATTCATTCAAGAAGGCCTTGCAGCCAGGTAGCCCAAAATTTCTGCAGTAGTCCTCTGTGAAGATGGCAGATGGTTACTAAATATTGTTGGACCAGAAACAATGATCGTGCACTATTTCCGAGGTATGTTTTGATACGGTAGATTATGTTTCTCAGTTCCCTGTCGTTGTTTATCTGTGTGACCGGTCATCCAGGATCTGGTTTCCACTGGTCCTAGGTAAAAAGGTTGGGCTAACTGAATCAAATAGTTTGAGATCGAACATTGAAACTGATTGAAGGTCGTACCCTGGTTTAAACTAGTTCGCTGCAGATGGATTCTACCAAGGGTTATGTGTATAAGTGGACAAACTACTTGAAGGGCTATCAAAAGCGCTGGTTTGTTTTACAGAATGGACTGGTATCGTACTACAGGTATTCCGAATATTTCTTTTACATGCTGCCACAAGGAGCCAAGCAGAAATGGCACATACATGTCGTGGCACTATCAACCTTGCTAATGCAATCATCAGGAGTACAGGGCCGACAACTTTCGTCATTTCCAACAGTAGTACGCAGACATTCCATCTTAAGACAAGTTCTGAGAGCGAACAAAAAAAGTGGGTATCAGCTCTCACTTCTGCTAAAGCAAAGGCGCTAGCTTTGAGGAAACAAGGTGAGGTGGCGCAGTCTAACAGCATTGTGTGATGTAATAATGTTTATGGTCTTAATTGCACGGTTTCAAGTGAAAACATAGCCCCTTAAAGTCTCATATCTGGCCACATAAGCAAGTTCTAAGCTCAGCGAATATACTCATACACCTCAATTACCTATCACTAAATACATCTCAGTCTACCGCTACTCTTTATCTGGGTGGTCTGTTGTTTGTTGAGGTTAGTTTTACCACACAGTGGCGCTCTCCTATCTTCTATATAACGTTAAGAACTGCTTACCAGTTGTATGTTCATAAATGTGGACCTGAAAACCTTACCTGATTTTGGTGGCTGATAATATTATTGTAAAAGCTTTTAGTAACATCTTTGACCTAGCAGCTTGAAACTTAGTCGTGAAGTATGCTTTTCATTATTTACTTGTTTTCTTATTAGGTATATTTACTAACTTAGTTTTGTGACATTAACCTTTCTTTCTTACTATCTTGGATATCCTGTTCATTTATTGGTGAAAATGAAAACTGTGGCACTTGGTTATGAGTTTTAATCGGCGGATGACGGGATACTAGCTTTAGTTTCACCACTGAATCGAGGCACGAACGAGGGGATAACTTCTGATAGTGGCAGTAGGTTAACTTGGTGATATTTGTTCTTACTGTGTATTCCCGTCAAAGTTTGGTTTATCCCTGAGCAAGTTCGTCGCAGGTGTTTTGCACATACTAAATAGTACTCAATCGTGCATTTTGTGTCTATGGTTTGATAACTTACGAGTATGGAGAACCACTGTAGTGTCTTCCATTATGAATCCAATTCAAATATTGGACTGTCAGGAAGTAAAACCTTAATCAATAATACTTAGATTGTCTTCAGCATCCAGTTTACTTGAATGACTGTAAAAAGGTAAATATTGATCGTCAACAGCTTTCCAGCAATGTTCTTTGTGTTCAAAACAATTGTTTTAAAGCCGTACCTAAGTATAACTATCTTGGTACAGGGCCATGGTGTAACCCTGGCCAATAGCTACTACCTTGACGTGGTGGTAAGGCTTGCATATCACAATGACTCAACGAGCTGTACTGGTGGAACGCTTGTTTCCTAGGGCTCCCTACCATGACAGGGTCTGTTAGACAGTTGTAAGACGAAAAGCATTTACCGTTGTAGTGTAAATCATTATACTGTGATGGGGTCCAAGGGTGAAATCATACTGCTGCTAGCTGGATGGAGTGTGAAATCAGTAAAGTGTTTCCCATGGATGACCGGTTGTGCCGCGCTGATGCTGCCTTCTCAACGGAAGTGGGAACTTAGAAAAGGTTGGCCCCCAAAACATCACACCACCCTACCTCATCATCATTATCAACATGGAACCAGGCATTACTGTGTAACGATCCCAATTGCCACACCTCACGTCAGTTCATCAAGTAGAAAGGTAGTGAGGTGAAGGACGAAGATAAGTGGATGCAGTCAAAAGAAATATAAAGTACGAGAAGAGGAGCGACAAAATGGTGAGATTCGGTATAGTGTAGTTAAGATGATAATGTGTGTATATATCTGCGCCACTGATATCGGTTCTGAGCCATATCACCTAGAGTCTCCAACCACTGGTTCCTCTTGTCCCGCCAACCCCAACCACCTAGTCTGCATCGTCCTACATGGTTTAAACCAACAGTCAGAGACTTCATGCATTGGTGCCATGTTTTAGTCTGGCCACCCCGGCGGGCCTATTTCCAGCCTGGACCCACCTCAGCCAACATTGTGTGACGAGACAATCGGTGACTAGTCATACGTAGTAGGTGTTCCAACCATCTCAGTCGATGAAGGTTCATAACCTCGTCAACTGACTTACCTCTTCTCCTTAAAACTTTATACCTGACTTCTGTGTTACTCACGTGGTGACACCATGGAATACGTCCTATACTACGAAGGCAGGCAACGGTGGTCAAACACCTGAAGCCTTTTTATATCTTCCACTTTCAATGGCCATGTTTCACAGCCATACAGTAGAACAGAGCGGACTGCTGTGCAGTACACGCGACCCTTAATAGACAAACGAATATCACGGCGGCGCCATAGGTGGCGCAAATTGGCAAAAGCCAATCGAGCCTTTTGTATCCGTGCAGAGATCTCATCGGCAACTAACCCACCAGGGTTGATCCTACTTCCCAGGTAAGTGGTCAACACACTCAACCACTTCACTCTCTATTGTTAGCCGCGGTACCACTGAAGACCAGTCCTGGAGCAAAAATTTGCATTTGGGTGGTGAAAATCGCATCCCAAACATTCTCAAATTCCCATTCAAATTGTTCAGAAGACTCTGCATCTTGTCAGCGTCTTCACCACCCTACCTCGTGGTTTTCCATTGCTGGTAGTGTGGGTTTTTCTCTATCTGGAGTTAAAACAACAGTCCACAGAAGGCTATGTGACAGGCCGCAAGCGGATGTCTCATAGGCTCTGGGATCACACAAATCTTTTTCTTTTTCAGATACCCTAAGATGAACTAGCCTTCCACGGTGTGGGCAGCCGGGAAGTATCAACCGCCTGTACGTTTCCAGTAGTACACAGGACACAATCAAATATAACCTATTCGCCTCAACTCTATTTCCTCCTTTGCCTTCACATCCTGATACTAATATTAGGTATTTTACGCCTTATCCAACCTCATCGCCAGTGATCTAAGCCATCGAAACCTCATTCCTACTCTCTTAAGACCTCTCCATTGATTTCACATTGGGGCTTTCAACGTCCGAACTGTATACTAAGTCAGACAGCAAGCATCGCTCATCTCAAGCCATAAATTTATGCTGTGTCTCTGAGACACGTATACAAGACCCGAGTGAGATTATTTAATTGACCTCACGTGACCCGTGCGGTGAATCTCTAAGATTTACCGTACGAGCATCTAGAGACCCAGTAGCTTTCGTGAACTTGTGTAAGCATAGCATTGATCTGTAGGATAGAAAGTTTGCTTCTCGACTGGATATCAGTCAACAGCCGTCTATGTGATGTTCGTCTGAATAGATCTGTAGGGAATAGGAAGGATCGAGAGAATAGGTGGTATGCATTCGTATTCTCCAGCTATGCACCCACTGACCACAGTTCGCATGATGCAAGGGATAATTCCTATGAAAAGCCATCAAACTTTGCTACAGAAAGCGAAAAGTTCAGATGTAGTCATAGTGGCAAATGACTTTAATGCTAAATTAGGGAAGCTAAGCCAGATGAAAAGGCATTTTGAAGGTATTTACGGAGCCCCATGTCAACGAACCGACAGCGGTGACGTCTGTTGCAATTTTGTCCTGACAATCACCTGTTCCTGGCCATCACTAAATTCAAACATAAGAAGAGATACTCACGTGGCTTCCGTCAACTTCATACCAATGATGGGTACAGATAAATCCCACTGATAAAACGCACTGTTGAAGAGGATCGGTAGGGCCAGGATTGGGACTGTTTCTGAGGTACCTGCTTTGACTCAAATCATGCGCCAATACGGGCTAGTGTATGTTTAACTCTTACAGGCTGCAGAAAACTAGCGGCAGTGAAGCCTGTCTGTAGTCGATTGGAAGATGAGAACGCCAACTACGTATGCAGGGAGGAGTCAGCCAAGCATTTATATGAACATGACATCAATGCTCATCCTGAGGAAACGTGGCGTGATATCAAGTCTTCTGTCGAGACAGCAGTTGCGACAGTTGGTAACCAGTACCTGGAAGTTTAGTAAATGTCAATGGATTTCGGTGACGTTATCCGAACTGATTGACGCGAGAAAACTGATTGCAGCTCCGACTGCGACGAAGAGCGAAAGCGACTTAAACGTAAGTTGCCCGAAAGTCTTCGCGTCGATCTCGAGGAGTGGTGGATGATGGGAGCGAAAGAGGTGGGGAAGGCGTAAACGTTGGGTAATACTCGGCAACTATTTAGGCTTATCAAGGACACCGGCAGGAAGAAGGTGATGGCTGGTGAAACCGTCACCGAAAAGGATGGGACACTGATAACCCTTCAGGACTGACGGCTAGAATGTTGGGCAGAACACTTTAGCGTACAGTCCAAACGACCCAGGGTATCGCTTCAGTTGCCCAACATCCAGCCTGAACCTGAATGGGACGTAGATGTCGGTCCTCCAACTCTCTTCAAAGTTGAGAAGGCTGTTCCTTACCTGAAAGGATGCAAAGCAGCGAGACCTGACGGGTTGCCACCTGAGGCTTTCAAGGATGGAGGTAGGAAGGTAGAGACAAGTCTGACGGTACTATCTCTGATTCCTATTCACTACCTAGTACCTCCGCCACTAATCAACAATTTCCTATCTCTATCCTTTAAAGCCTCAAGTGGCAAACTGTCAGTTCCTGCTGCTTTGCATCCTTTCAGTTATGGAACAGTTTTCTCAACTTCGAGGAGAGTTGGAGAACCGATATCTACGCCCCATTCAGGTTCAGGCTGGATGTTGGGAAACTGAAGCGATACTCCGGGTTGTTTGAACCGTTCGCCAAAGTGTTCTGCCCAGCGTTCTTTGTCTTAGATGTACTAATAGACGTAACTTTAGGTACGTCTGACTTCAGACGGATTGGCCTACTCCCTAGAGGTCATCCAGTTGACTTAAAATGTGCACATGATATTGTCCTGCTAGGTAAAAATGCTGATAAACTGGAGGGTCTTTTGAACTCGTTGAGCGGAAATCTGAGTATGTTTGGCATGCGTTTCGCTTTCGCCTGTCAAATGTAAGATGACGCTCCAGGACTGGTCTGCTGAAAGTGCTCCCAGTTTAATGATAGGGAGTGAAGTGGTGAGATGTGTCGAGCACTCCACTTACTTGGGGAGTTGTATCAACCCGAGCTGAGTGGTTGCTGATGAAATCTCAGCTCGGATACAGCAGGCCCATTTGACATTTACCAACTTGGGTCATCTGTGACGCCGACTGGTGTGGTATCCAACTATCTATCAAAAGACGATTACATTCCGCTGCGGTCGATCCTCTCCTGTTATATAGCTGACATGGGTGCTAAAAGTAGACGTGGCGCGGTTACAGGGTTTTGATAATACTAATCTTCATTGTATCGCTCGCACTTGGTGGAATCACGGTGTGAACATTGTTAAGGGGAGTCGGAAGATACTAGGCAAGACAGGCAAGTCGATTGACGAGGTTGTGAACCTTCATCAGCTGGGATGGCTTAGACCTGTTATGCACTTCGCTTGCCGAGCCACCGCCTACCTCAGTATGCTATACTGGGAGACGTTGGATTCGTTTGGCAGTGGGGTCAGGGTGGCCATACTAAGACCTAGCACCAGTCAATAAAGTCCTTGACTGTTGATCTAAGCAGTGTCCGGAGATGTGGACTTCCTTGTTTGGGTTCTTGAGACTGAAGGAATGAGTGGCTGAGTACTCTTTGCGATGTGACTATAAATCAGTCACACTGTAGTAGATGTATTCACTCCTTGACATCTAAATATTCATATTAACCTTTACCTTCAGGTTGTTTATTCTCACACTACTTTATCTACTTTGATATCACTACTTGTCTATCCCTCTGTTCTTTCTGTACTTCTGTGAAGTGTGGCAAGTTGAGCCGATGCACTCCTGTGCGAGGTGCTACGTTGATTTAGTCAGTCAGGCATCAGATGTATAGCTCTTTAGTTGTACCATTGGTCTTGAACCAGTATTATGCTAAACTTTCCTATTTTGTCCATAGTTTTTGCACCGCACGTTACTGATATGTGTCTGTATAATCTGACATGTATGTTGTGCTGAAAAGGTCCTCACTGTTCATATATATTTCACCCTGTAATAAAATTTCCGCTTCTATTTAAGAAAAGTATTTCCATTAGGATAATAAAATGACAATTTTTTTTCAGTCAATTATTTATTCATTAAACTTTTTGCCTTGAGAAGTTTAAAGGTGTAATTGGATACACTAGGAAATCAAATCAAATTAAAATGCACTCATCAGGCTTGTACATATTCGTGCAGTAGGTAGTGGATCATACCTAGTACATGAGGGCTACTGGTACTAGTTGACTGCACAGACCTTGGTAGGTAAAGCGGAGCTCAAACTTGTGACCCATCGGTTGAGAGTTATCTTCCTGAATCAATGAGCTACAGCTCCGCACTCTGAGCGATAGTAAAATGTAATACTTAAGTGTTGGAAATTACTGTGTTGTAGCAGTTATCTGGAAAGTGGGATAGTGGGTTAATTAACATTGATTACATTTTCCACTTGTGTTATGCTTATTAATGGATAATTCTGTTTGGAAAGGCTACTAATAACTACTTATTTATAGTTTTACACCACTGGTGTTTTCTGCTATCGTTGTGGTAGATTGGATGCTAATTAGTCAACAATCAAAATTTGAACTCATTCATATGTTTCAGATTATTGCCATGACAGATCAATATGAAAACTGTCATTATCACAATATACCCTTAAGGCGTTTATACAATTTTTTTTATATGTCTAGATGCAGGTGTACTTTTAGGTTTTCGGTGTTATTTGCCACCTAAGACCTCGTCTCAGAGTTCATCTCTACTTCAATATCCATTAGTTTATATATATATATATATGCGGTTATTTCTGTCGTTATGCCGTTTTCGCGTTAAAAACTAAGCACACTTATTTTTCATAGTCAGAAATGATAAGAACTGTATGTTAACATTGTGTAAAGTGTTTAGTATGTGTTCACCATTTTTTACATAAGGCAAATAGCTCAACTTTTATTGCAAAACATGCATTTTAAGATTAGCGAAGAAATATTAGTATGGTCGATTGTGTACGCCAATTGGTACCGCTTCATGGTTAGTAAATTATTTTTTTATGTAGCTAACATCCGTCTTGGTGGGAAATAAAATAGAAAACAAAGTGCAATGTCATAGAGATTTATTACCGGTCGAATAAAAGTTTCCGCACCTTTTTTCCTTACTACATCTTTTGAGTTAGTTTTTCGTCCTAAGAATATGGTAAAGTACCTATTTTCAGTTGAAGAAATTGTAGGGTTCACGGTTGACATCAACCAGTTGTGTATTAAAAATCACTAAAGATTGATGGTTACTTCATCTTACCTTAGGATTGGATGCGTACATTTGTATTCATTATTGAACTGAAAGTGTGATTGTTTACTAGTATCGTTAGCGAAGTGATCAAGTATCTGTGTTGACTCGATCTGTACTAGTTTTTCTGACCTATTTATTTTGTGACGGTTCTGGGTTTTAAAAGATTTAACGCTCATATAATGCTTTAAAAACAATACCTGTTTCACGATAAAGTGCATAAAAATTGAATTGATAAACTTACTATCGGGTCTGAAAACTCTCCGCTTTTCTAGGTTGTTTTTTCGCAATTTTAAATCAAGAACTCGATATTCAGACAATGGGTCCAGGGTTTACATCCCACTCCTTTTGCTACGGTCTGGACAACAAGATATTATCGTAAGTCCGACACTAGGTGTAGTCCATAGCCCAGTACACAAATGTATGGGGTGAAGTTGTATTCTTTCCTTCCTGATTTTCAACTAGAAGTTGAGGGATTATAGTTCCTAGAATCGCTTATCCCGATCAGTGCCTGCGTTTTTCTTCTTAACTAAGACAGCCAAGTTAATGTAAAACATTGCGAGAAAGTGCATGTTTTGAAGTTATCACATGGGTGTAAAAGAGAAAGTAGATAGGAAAAGTTTAGTAATATAGCAGACAGAAGTTTATGAGATAGTCCGGAATAAATAAATGAAAATTAAAAATATGCAGCATTTTGAAGGTGATTGAGAGTGAATACATTTACACCATTGTGACGGATTTCGAATCGATATATTATTGTATGAAACCCTTCATCTGTATGTCAGTTTCCGCAATGATAGTTTAGAATTTTTAGTTTGCATTGATTTTATGTCTGTTCACTAAACGATGTAACTGCTAAAGGTAGTATATATATATATATATATATATATATATATATATATATATATATATATATATATATATATATATATATATATGGTTGTGTGGTATGTTGTAAAAGTGACTAAGTGCTTTATTCGGCTCTAGCAATAACAATAATAATGATAAACAGTTTGACTGAGTTAGCCATAGTTTGACAGACTTGTACTCGTGTTAGTGTGTGGTGATCGAAGGAATCGAGATTCGAACCATTAGCCTCCGAACTACTGGCATGGTATTCTACCAACTGATCTGAAGGACCCAACCGCTAGCCAGATCCGCAGATCGCTGGTTCAGACCCTGCGTGACGTAGATTTTCACTGAACCTTCAATCAACACATAGTATCGGTAATAATGATGATAATAATAGTGACAGTTTTATTCAAACCCACCAGTTGGATACAATACAGAATTAGTCCTGGAGTTCATATCAGCAAGTGTTGACTTCGCTGACGATGAATTCGAATTTTATTTTTCTTCAGATTCGGTAAAAAACATAACTTTATTATCGTGTGAAGAGAAGGTAAAAACTATGATTAAACAGTATTGTTTTTTGATTACAAAATATAAGCAGCTAGAATTATCTAGTCCAGTCAATAGTTTCTGCAAGAAGTTTTGTCTAAATTATACTTTGTAAACAAACGAATAAATCCTCATAAAATACTGCAAAGCCTTATTTAACCGTTTTAAAAAACTGTAAGCTGTAAGAAACAGTGCTTAAAAATTGGAACAAAAAGAGCAAACACGCCAGTGACCTTGTCATATTTGACTTCTCAGGTGTATTGTTTACTGTTTGTTTTTTACTTGTAGGCGATGACTCAGATGTTTATACTGATGGTTATGAAGATGATGAAGATTATAAAACGTCTTCTGCCACTGATGAGGATGGCGTTAGGATCATTAATGATGCGCTTATCAAACTTGAAGCTCATGTAACTGATCTTGAACGTCATCAACAGACAATGAGTAGAAAAGGTGAAGAGTTACAACGTTCCATCAGTGATGTAGAAACTGCTCGTGATCCCACTGAATTATTACAGCGTTTCAACTTGGCTCGTGAACGTGCCACAGTTTTCAAGGTTGCAAGTTTGGCGATGGTTAATGTAAGTAATATATATGTATATTTGTGCATTATGCTTGTCGATGTTCGTCGGTGGATGCTTTATTTTATTTGGAATTGCTTTGTTAGATAATTTACAACGAAAGAAGTGGTCCAAATGTAATGCTATATATTTGTGTTTTTAGGACTAAATTATGTTTAAAAAGCTAGTTTATATTTTACTGGTTTGCAGTTATATACATATATTTTCTTTTGAAAACAGTTGTTTACGAAAGGAATATAACAGTGGTTCAGTAATAGTCAGACACAGATAGGCAAGTGATGAAATAGTGTTCCACCTCTGAATAGATCAATGATTTCATCTCTTGCACCACCACCATAAATGATGGAGTTGGATGAAGTTCTTAAAAGTTACTACTAAATTACAAAATGGGGAAATAGGCATATATTCTCAGTAATCTTTAAAAGTCAGTGTCATTTACATATCTGTGAAGTTTTCACTGCAGATCAACATCATCTCAGTCAGTCAGTAAATATCAAAATGGAATCTGGTATTACTAGGTGCAAATTGCAGCACCTCACATCAGCGCACCAAATGAGAAAGCACCAAGATAAAAAGTAAGGAAATAAGAAGGAAAGCGATTAAAATTAGTAGGAAGTCATAAAAGGAGAGCAAGGAAGTATGACTCTAGTTAAATTCATTACGATGATTCCCCTTCACGGCTCAGGTCAACAATCAAAGACTTCTTTGACTGATGCCATGTTTTAGTCCAGCCGCGCCTACCCCTTTTCCATCTTAGGTCCACTTCAGCCAACATTCTGCAACAGAGCAGACGACGACTCGGCATGCGTGAGAGATGTCTCAGCCACCTTAGTCGCTGAAGGTCTACTAAGGAATCTCACAGTGAATTAACACAAGGAAAAATGTGTGTGTGTATTATTGTGTAACTCCTTTGTAAAAACTTGAATAACCACTCATTTCTCCAGTTTGGAGGTTTGTGAAGATTTATTGTTTTCAAGTTGATAAACATCACAGACGGAGATCAGTTGGAGAACCATCGAGAACCTAGGAAAGCTATTTCGTCCTTGTGTGGGACTCCTGAGCAATGAGAACCCATAACCTTGACAGGGGTCAAGCCCAGGACCTTCAAAATTTATGGCGAGCCCGTTACTATTTAGCCACCGATTTTGAATCTAGTGGTCCACATTTTCCTACTGCTATCAATCTGTGATATAGCCCAAGCTCCATCCATTGCCATCATTGAGTATTTTTCCTCATATCCGACTTGGTTTGCTCCACTGGTCACGATTTCTCATAAGAACTTCGTGAAACCTCATTTTGAAGTATCTCATTAGTGCCCTGAATGTTTGTTGCTCTTGATGTAGGTTTATTTGCGTGATTATGAGCTTATGCTAGTACTCGGTTCGTAGGCTAAAGTACAAGATCAGAGCTTGAACTCAGAACCCATTTGTTTTTATTTAAAACTCAGAACCATGGAGAGATACATGCAGTTTTTTACTTTAGTGACTGCACTGCATATTTCGATTGGTAGGTTGGGTTATCACTGAGAATCAACCTACATACCTAGTTCATTTCTACAAGGACTCAGTTAGAAAGGATTTTTTCCACCTCTTTTTAAAGATCTTTTAATTACTATTTGATTGTAACTTATTCCCACAGGCAACTGACTTCATGGTGTTGTTGACTTTCCTACTTACTTTGGCAATAAATGTCCTGGCCAAAATAATTTGCCAGGACATTCACTATGATTACTACTTGAGAACCTATGCATATTTTACATGCATAGGGAATATGAACTTTTTTCGGACACAGCGAACGAACAGTAAGGTATCCTACTTTGGTTTCTTTTTTAGTAGCCCCTTCATTAGCGTATGTGGGTGGTAAAGATTTAGCTAAAAAAAAGTAACACCCGACGACTCTTCGGAGGTGAACAATTAGGGGTTGTTATTTGCTCGTTTGTTCACTTTCGCATGATTGGAACTGGTTAATATGCATCTTGTCAGAGATGAATACAAACCTCACTAGAACATCAATAAAACTCGAGATGAGATATTTGAAGTTTATATTATTATTTGAGTAGTTTTGTTCAAGTAAAATTTAGGAAGTAAATGTATATCACCGTGCTTACAACTAAAAACTTCCATATTTTGGAGTTGTGGTTTCATTAGCTTAGTTAATCTTAATCAACTTTAAACCTTTCAGCTAATGGACTATGATTTCGAATTCCACTGCGTCCTACAGGTGTTCGGTCAAACAGGTAGCAGTATCTTAAGCGTGTATTCAGTAGTTCCAGCTCTTAGATTAATACCACTAACTTACAAATAGTCGCATTATTTAACTACTGATTATTGTAGTCAAAAAGGTTATATTTTTGTATATTTGCTTAGGAGCTACATGTAATGTTCAGAAGATAGTTTTACCCATTTGGTTGTCGAAGTTCGTGTGGATAAATTCCAAATTAGCATGAAGTTCAGTAGTTAATGGTCGAAAGCTCAAATTGTCCAGCTACTTCCCTATGGAAAAATCTCTATATCTCTGACTGATGTATTTTACATTGGTAACAAAACATACATTTGATGTTATTACTTGTATTATCCTATCGTTGAGTGGACCAAATCGACTTGTCTCTACTGGTATGGATGCCTCGATATTGCCTGTGTAACAGTCATATATTAATGATGCATAGTGGCTAGCAGTGGGATCCAGGATGCGCGTTCCGTTTTATTCTGGACTCGTCACCTAGATGTACTTGCTTCCCAGTGAGCGATATTGTCCCAACTAGGACTCGAACTTGTGATCGATCGCTTCAAACCCCAGAGCTTTATCCACTGCTAGCCACTATCCATCATTGATGTATAATTGTAACAAACAAGGCATTCACGCAGGAGCCTATATGTCAATAGAGACCGGCCAATTCGATCCACTCAACGATGGAATAATACAAGCAACAACATCAAAACTATCCCCGCCGCACAAGAAGTGGCTATTTTGGCTCGGTGTTCTGGTGGATAACGCTCTTTCGTTTGAAGGGGGTCGGTCCCGAGTTTGAATCATGATGAGAACAACATTGCTCATTCAGAGGGAGGTAGATCCAGCTGACGAGTCAGGCATGGGGCGAAACGCGCGTCCTGGATTCCACTGCTAGCCGCTATTCATCATTAATGCATACATCATTTAGAAAAGAATTTTATTTTTGTTTGTGGAAAGACTTTATATTTGGAATTAATCTATCCAGTCAGTCATTATGAATCCTGTAAAGGATATTCAGTAACTGGTCAACTTATTGGTTCATTGTACTGTTTGAGGTTATCCAAATTTCATTTGCTTCATTGTAAATCTACTCATGCTCCTCTGGGACATTATTTCACTATTTTGAATCAACTTTTCTCTCTTCTTATGGAGTTATAGTGAATACGATTAGTGGACGCGCATCAACAGGGGAGATAAGGAAAGAAATACCAGCATAGTAAACGTTCAGCTCTATAGGATTCTAGTTATTTTCCCTTTTCTTTTAAATATCTGATATATTTAACATTCAATTCTTTACTCATTTTAATACTAATATTTCAGTTGGGGTGTAGTTTCAGTTTCGTATGTTTCAAACCATCATCAAATTGAACTTCTTATTTTATAAAAGTGTGAACGATAACTGTATTTTGTCTGTTTCCAACTTTCTCTATACTACTGACTGATTATTCAATGTTTAGTTGAACTCCTTATCTATAGTACTACTTTTTTATTTGACACCAGTTTATGTAATAACACCTCATTGTAAAGTGATTTCATTGATAAGTTATTCCGATAAGAGAATAGGGTTACATCGATCAAATTCATTTACATATGCTGGTATTTAGGATTGTTAATTATTTAATGATTTGCAATCACTGTTAATGATTTTCACTCATTGCATAATATTTACGTTTATGTTAGTTATTATGAATAAACGGCATGAGATATAATCTATGACATCTGAAGTGTAAAAATGATCAATATATGAAGCGACGAGACTTTATGTGATATTGTAAGCTTGAAAATGACTCATAGCCTGCTGCACATAAAACCGGTACAACAAAAATTTATTACAATATTATTGGTGTATTTAAACTTTCTGGTCTGCTACATGAATCAGAATTTTAGCCCAGAGAAGTGATATTAATGACCGCCAGTGTTTATTTCTAACTGCCCCACGAGCCATATTAATTGATATACTAGTGTAGAGACTTGTTACGTCAAAGTTAATCACTTTTAGCCGTCTTCTAATTCTATATACTCTAATTTTTCTTCTAGTTCATGAGAATTGGCAAGCCTCAATTGTGAACAATTTGTAATGGGTCATAATAACATTGTTAAGTATTTAGACAATTCGTAGGTTAGAGTGTTTATAGAGTAGGCTACGGGTCCAGTGGGATAACCTGACTTGTGAACCTTGATAGTACCATATATCCTACTGGGGTTATCAGTTCTGGGGATTAAATGAGGCTACATAGAATTACTCAGGAACGCCTGTATTCGGTTTATTGCATCAGTTGTATTCACTATCTTCTTGGTTTTTCCATACTGTTCTGTTTAGATATGTTAGTTGACCTTCTTAATGCAGTCCGATTTATATAGTATTATTGTCGTCTGATTTGACACTCATACTCCTGTCGTTTTGAAGGCCCTTTAAAGCTTTTTTTCTTGCTTTGTTAAATTTCCACTTATTTTCGTCTGCTTTTTCAGTGTTAATGCACATGGTACTCAAACTTCTTCAGCAGTTACTTTATCCATTGAACCGGCTGCTACTTTTATGCTAGGAATAACACCCTGGAATTTTAGTTACCTTTTCTCCAGTACTTATATTTCTGTTAACTCTAGCTGAGAGATTGATAACCTGTTGATGCTATTGGTGACCTCATTATTGTTCATCGGATACTTCCCTTCCATCAGTTTGTTTGTTTTTTTACTTTGAATGTTCTTCGACTTTTCGATAGTCTAGCTGTATTGGAGTTATAGTTAGTATTTTATCATGGAGTGACATCATT